AAAGTTGGTGTTCAGCAAAAGGGCATGGTTCTGCTCTCAATACATATTAAAAGAAAAAGAAAGAAAGAAAGAAAGAAAGAAAGAAGAAAGAAAAAGATACCTGGATAGCTCTGGCTGCTGTCCTCAGTGGTTAGAGCATTGGCCTGCACTCCAAATGGTCTTGAGTTCAATTCCTGATCAATAGCACCTACCTGGGTTGCAGGTTTAATCCTTGCCCCCTCTTGGGGTGTGTTTGGGAGGCAACCAACCGATTTGTCTCTCACATAGATTTCTCTCTCTTTAAAATTAATGGGGGGAAAATCCTCGGGTGAGGATTAACAACAACAAAAAGTATATAGATAGATACATAGAAAGATATAGGCGTGTAAATATACACTATTCTGTTTTACTGGTCTGCCTGTGAATTACTGTGGCAGTACCACATTGCTTTGATTATTTGGTTTACTGATGTATTTGAAAATCTATTTAATGTGAGATTAAATTAAATCCTTTCCCCCTGTATATTCCTGGCTATTTCCATATTGTTTTCTCATGAATATAAGCATGATAAAAGTAATTGCATCATTTTCATATGAAAACCATCAAGGTTTGAGCATTTAGATAATCGCATATCTTAGTGAATTATGTATGTATATTATAGTTTTTATTATATAATGTGTATTATTATTTAACGCATCACTTCTATCATTGATCAATAATATTTTCCTTACGTATATTTGTATCAGGAATTGGGTTATTGCATGACCTGATATTAAACACTCATCATATTCCAGAAATAAACCTGCTTTTTTTATTCCATATTGAAAAGATGGCTAGAGGCATATTTTCCAGACATTCCTATGCTGGGAATGTGACATTTACACAAAGCTTCTGGGTATATTTACTACATTCACTAACTCTTTTTCATAAACTGGGTTTGAATTGTTTTCCCCACAGTAATGAAACCTGACTGGGGGTAGCAGGCTGAGGGAAACAGGACACATTATTACAATAAAGCTGAAGGATCTCCCCTCTCTCTCCCCTAGAAAATGAAAAGAAAATGTATTTATGGGAGAGGATCCAGGGAGGGAAATCTCTCAGAACTGTTCCAGACACCTAGACTGGGTACATTAGCACTTAGTCTCTTTCACTTTGCATAAAATTGGAGAGGAAATGAATGTGAAGTATCAGGGAGCCATCTGAGTGCCATGATGTGTATGGTGTCTGGCAGTCCAGAGAAAGGTGGCTATCACTTGTGCCTGTGGTGCTTGAACTGAGACTCAAGGAGCTAGCAAGTTCAGGAGGGAAAATGAGGTTGCAGAGTGATTTGGCTCATGCACTCACCCACTTGGTGATTGGTTCTCATTCATCAGGCATTCCTTTCCTTCAAGCACCATGAACTCCTGGTTCCCTGATGGGGCCTCTCAGCCTGCTCTGCTGCTTTCCCTGTTGGGATCTGCATATTCTTTTTAAAAAAATGTATTTTATTGATTTTTTACAGAGAGGAAGGGAGAGGGATAGAGAGTTAGAAACATCGATGAGAGAGAAACATCGATCAGCTGCCTCCTCCACACCCCCTAACTGGGAATGTGCCCGCAACCAAGGTACATGCCCTTGACCGGAATCGACCCTGGGACCCTTGAGTCCGCAGGCCGATGCTCTATCCACTGAGCCAAACCAGTTAGGGCTGCATATTCTTATTTTAGTCTACACACTTTTGTGATATGACCTCACTTTACATATACACCTCCACAGAAATTCAGTTCACAACGTAAAGATCTCATGGACATCTCCAGTACAATTTTCCTCTGAAACAGCATGCCCAAAGTGTCAAAACCAGAAATCATCCCAAATCCAGAACCTGCTCCTTCCTTGAGCATCCTCTCCCCATTGATCCCACCGATTGATCACCACTTGCCCCAATGCTTTTCATTGTACATTCAGTGACGTTCCCTCCTCATCTCCACAAGCACAGTGAGGGCGACCCACCCTCTCTACACACAAGCAGAATTGGAAATGTGAGTTTCAGGAGGGGCGTTATAGGGCCTGCCAAGCTCTAAAGGAATTTTCCTAAATTATCCTGGCTAGTTAAATTTTCTTCAGGCTTTGCTTGTTGCTAAACATAGAATGAGTTATAAAGAGTGAAGGAGCACTGACCGGTTTGCTCAGTGGATAGAGTGTTGGCCTGGGGACTGAAAGGTCCCAGGTTCAATTCCAGTCAAGGACATGAACCTTGGTTGAGGGCACATCTCAAGTAGGGGGTGCGTAGGAGGCAGCTGATCGATGTTTCCAACTATCCCTCTCCCTTCCTCTCTGTAAAAAATCAATAAGATACATTTTTTAAAAAGAGTGAAGGAAAAAGTGTAATTCTACAGTTGATGATTATAAATTTGTAGACAATTAAAATACTGAAGGGATATATTTTTAATTAACCTTATTTTTTGGAGCAGTTGTAGGTTAATAGCAAATTGAATGGCAAGTACAGAGTTTTCCCTTATAACTTCTATCCCCGCACATACATTACCTCCCCTATTGCCAACATCCCCCCCCAGCATGGTATGTATATCTATTACAGCCAATGAACACACATTGACATAACATTATCACCCAAAGTCCATAGCTTTCACTATTGGTGTAGAAAAAAATATTTTTTTCAATGTAACTTAGATTTTTATTCCAGCTCACCACGTTGATTTCTTCATTTATTTTTATTTTTACTTTTATTCAATTTATTGGGGTGACACTGTTTAATAAAATTATACAGGTTTCAGGAGCACAATTCCACAACACATCATCTGTATACTGTATTGTATGTTCACTCTCCTG